TTTAAATTTAGATATTTACTTAGTTAACCCTAAGTTTTTATTTTATTTATAAAGTTATATAATTGGATTGGATTAGTTTTAAATTGGATTTACTTAGTGTAGATGCTCGGAATCCACAATCACGGAAGTTGGGATGTGGCGACCTACGAAACAAGAGAAAGGAGACTGACGGGGATCCTTGACACCAGGATGATGCGGGCTGGGTAGACTCTGAAGCCCAAGTTCACAACCAAGTTAGACATAGAAAATAAATGGTGATGTGTAACTAAACAATTGTGATGGTGTGGGCATATGAATGCCAATGCAGGTCTTCTGGAGAGGTGGTCTAGTTTTTTGAGGAACGGTAGCTGGAGTGTCTTAGAGAGTGAGAGAGCTTTTGAGAGTATTTTAGCAGAGGCTCGATGCTTAGAAGGAGTCGTCCCTTCTTTTGTTGGAGAGGGTGTATTTATAGAGTTCAAAGGGAGTGTCGTTGGTCCTCCAAACCCTATGGCCCTTCGAGATATCCGAGGTTAGAATATCCAAAGTTCATTGAGAGTCGATCCTCAAAGATGTCAAGAGGCAGTTTTGGATTAGTTTAGGTGACGGCTTTGGTTGACTCAGTCTAGACGAGGTAGTCTACAGGACCTAGGTTTGATCCATGGGCTTGGGTCCACTTGATATGAATTGTTGGGCCTTGTATGTTGGACCTTCACTAGACTTGGTCCACCTTGATTGCTGGACTGAAGGCTTAAATCTTGGGTTTTCAACATGATTTTTGCCGATACACTTAGCATATCCAACAACCGATCCAATCCAGTTAGATTCTCAAAATCGGGATCTAATCCAATCCAATAAAATTATCAAAACCAATCAAAATTGGATTAGATTGGTTAGTTTAATTGGATTGGATTGGATTTTGAACAATCCTAGCTATAATATTGTTGATTAGGATATGATATTATTGTATGTATATTTTTCTCTCTTCAATAAATTAAATCAACAATCAATATAAGCAATTGGACAAACAAAATAAAAAAGATTTGGTATAAGGTAGTTTGACATATATTGAGCGCATGGGATTCATTGTGATTTAAATCATTAGTTTATGAGAAATTACCCACATATTTGGCATATGAAAATCCATATTTTACATCAAACTTATATAATTTAATGTGTAATAAATCATTAAATATTATTTATTGCTTCAAACATTGGTTTGTGAGATTTTACCCACATATGTGACACATGAAATTAAATCCATGTTTTGCATCAAACTTATATAGTTTAATGTGTAATTAATTAATAGATATTATTTGTTGCTTCAAGATTTTATAATTTTGTTGTAATTGTATAAAATATTATTTGAATTTTTATTTGATTCTCACATATCATATGCCTAATGAGATGGACAAGGAAGAATTGTGGCACCATTATTCTTGGAATTAATCAAAGAAACTAAAATGATTTGAACTAAGTCTTCAAAAGTATAATATTGGCCAGCATAAAGGTAATAAAAGGAACATATAACTAACTCTTGGGTAATCGAGTAGTTTGATCCGAACTCTTGGATCTATTATTTAAGAGATCCTGAATTCGAGTCCCTTCTCAATTATTAATAGGAGTGGTTATTGGAGTTCTTACTCGACTGATAGTTTCAAAATCTTAGTTGATTAGTTGAGGTGTGTGTAAACTATCCTAAATACCTCGGTCATTGAAAAAAAAAAAAAAAAGGGGAGCATATTGATTTTTTTGAAAAGGTGGGATAATACCTTCTTATATAAAACATTAAAATGTGATGAGTACAATTCATTATTCAGGCCCCCTCATTCTTAGACAAGATAAAAAGCTATAGTGACATGCTTTGGCCTTTTTCTCCTTTCCGGCTTTCTTTTTTTTTTTTTTAATTATTTCTACTTTATTAATATATTAAGTGCTTTTGTATGGACAAAATGGTATTGGGAAGCTATCATCAAGAAGTACAATTGCTAGTTGAGACTTCAAAAACAATCTTTACAAAGGCTCCACTCAAGGCAGTGAATAGCATTCAAAGGCTAAAGTTACATAAAAATACAATTTCAAAGGTTAAGATTAAATATAAAAAAAAAAAATGATAGATTTTTTCTTAACCTAAACTAATGTTATTATATTTGCTAAAAGTTATAAATAATATTTAAAAAAAAAAAAAGCCATAATCATAGTCAAATATTTATTGGCTTTGTTATAGTTAGATTAATATAACAGTGATGTGGATTAAGTTAGTTAATAATCATATCCTTATGGTGGCCATGGCCTGGCAATTCACAATTCGCAATTGGGAATGAAGTAATGAAAGATGATTAATTGAGTAATGGTGGAAAAGGTACCTGATTAACGGACTAATCCCATGCATAATCATGACAAATCATGAAGATGACATATTCAAATAAATTTGAGAGTATGATCATATACAGCTGCAGTGATACGGGGTTTAAATTTAATTTATAAACTAATTATTAATTAATGTCTATTTCAAGAATGACTTGTTGGAAGTTGGAAGAGTTCTCCTCAAGATTGGATTGATAGTGAAATGAAAGTTTAAATAAAGTTTTTTTGTTTTTAATGATCGGGAATGTAATGTTCAGGTCAGCTTATGCGTAAGTTCAACTAATCCTCTAGGATCCTAAGGACTGAAACTATTGATCGGATAAGAGCTCCAATGACTAGAGTCGGTAATGGACCGTGTTGGCACACGGTACAAAAAAAAACACGACACGAAAATATGCGGACCGTGCCACAGACCTTAAAAAATGCAGGTGGGCTGGCACAACACAACACACAAAAAAAAAAATTATAAGAATTTAGAAATTAATGAAAATGAAGATGTATAATAATTCTTAATCATAATTTCTAAGTTTGTATTTGTAATTTATAATTATAAATTATAAGTAATAAAAAATGTTGAAATTCCATTAATATTTCAATGTCTCGTAATTTTATTATATTTCATAATGATTATATATTTTTTTATTTAAAATAAATACAAAGTGTCACTAAATATGATATATAAAATATTTTTATAATTACTATTAATAATGAATCAAAATTACCATAATTTATAAATATTAAAATTAAATATTTTTACAAAGCACATGGGCTAGCCCATGGCGCAACCCACGACACAACACGATATATAGTGGGTCATGCCATGGGCCTTTAAATTTGGTGGGGCCGGCACGACATAAATTTTTTGCAGGCTTTGGCACGTCACAACTCACGGCACGATGAGTCTTGAATTTTTAGGCACGACACGACCTACCACCATCTTTTCCAGTGGCTACCCCTATTAGCACGACGAAGAAAGACTCGAACTCATGACCTGAGTAATACACCCAAGAGTCCCTATCGAATCGTTTAGTCACCCAGAGGTAGTTAATAATACTTAATTAATTGTTCTTGTTTCACTTTATTTTGTAATTCTAATTTAAAAAAAAAATTATTTTGTTAATAGTGTAGGGTGATTTATTTTTATTTTTTTTAAGATATAAGGTGGTTAGATAAATTATTTCCATTAAATTTATTAAAATTTAAAAATCCGTATTTTTTGCATGGGTTTATTTCGTATTTTTTAATAAGATTGATTGATATTACAAGCATTCACGAATATTATTTATCCAAAAATTTATTAAACAACCTTTTTGAGATTAATAAAATTCTCATGAAAACAACATGATAAGATTTTTAAATATTTAAATATAAATTGGGTATTGTTTAATATTAATCGATTTTTCATGGATATATAAAATAAACCCTTTATATCTATAGATGTAATAGATTTAAAACTTCATCAAAATTAACATGGTTTATTAAACTTGATCATCTAGAAGGAATAATAATAATAATAATAATAATAATAATAAAGTGCATAAATTATTGGTGGTGGCGAAATCGGATCGTGTATGCATTTGTTATATAAAATCCTAACTGGGATATGATTCTGTCTAATTAATTGTGTTAGAATATCTAATATAGATATGACAAAATTATTAAACAAATGACACGAAGTAACTCGTTTAGTAAAATGAGTTTGCATGTGGGAGGTCATTCGGCTCGATTATTATACGATTAACAAATAAGTTGAGTTAATCAATAACGACAGAGACAAAGACATGAACACAATTAGGATCAATTCTAACCTACTAAGTTTACTAAATTTCTGTTATATCATAAATTGCAGTCCTTTATATCATCCTTTTAGAAACAAGTCTCTCAACTTTCACATAATTAATATGTTTGATATGTAAATTTGTTAACAACGACACAAACACGAATATAAACCTAATTAAGATTAATCTTGACCTACTAAATCATACCAAATTTATGTCACATTAAAATTTGTTACCCTTTATATCATTCTTATAGAAAAAAAAAAAAAAAAAAAAAAAAACTCTAACTTTCACATAATTATCATGTTTAATATGTAAGTTTGTTAACAATGACACTAACACGAATATAAACCCGACTAAAATCAATCTTGACCTATTAAATCGTACCAAATTTATGTCATGTTAAAGATTACTACCCTTTATATCATTCTTATATAAAAAAATTTCTCAACTTTCACGTAATTAACATTTTGGTATGTAAATAGAAAACGTTAACATAATCATTTAAGTAGAAAAAGGTGATAGATTCATTTTATATTTTTATTAATTATTTTTTAATCTTTTTAGTTTTAATGTTAGCTCAGCTAACAAAACTTGCAAACACCTACCAACCAAATTAAACCGTGGGACCAACCAATCCAAGCATGCTTAACCTTTTTCAAATTTATCGGACCCACTTCAAGTTCTCTGTACTTGACCGCACTCTATCACTCCCCCCGGGGGTCCATGGCCCCCGCTCCCCTTCCGCTTTATCCGCGTAACAAATTTTTAAAAAACATTTTTATGACGAAACTACCCCTTCCACTTTAAACTCTCATCCTATTGGCCGTTCTGTCTATACAAGGAAGAAAAACACACAGATACACACACACACTCTCGCTGTTCATAAATTCGTTGTGACGGCAGAATATTCTCCGTCAACGTCATTCTCTCCTCAAAAATACGATTATATATTTTACATGTTCTAGACGCCGGCCCTTGACGCCGTTAAAGCAACGACTGAGTAAGATTCTCTTTTTCTTTCTCTTCACTGTAACATTCAATTCATTTCCTTATATTAAAGTTTGATGAGTTGGATTTTTATTTGTTTTGTTCTTATTTGTTTGAATTTTGAATTTTTCTTTAAGAGAGTATCTGAACGTTGAAGGCAAGTTAATTAATTAAATTCTGTAATTTTGAATTTTCGAAAAAAGAGAAATGAATTTGGTTTGCACGAGAAAGTTGTGACGAAAATAAATTTTCTTTTTGACCGTTTTAGAAGAAGTAGAGCAGCAGAGTGGAAAAGCTTGTAAGTCTCTCTCTTTTTTCCGGAATCTGTTTGGTTGCCGAGAAAATTTGATGAAATGGAAACTGCTGTTTTTCTTTCTTGAAAAATCTATTCTCGTAAAAGAAACGGGGAATATTTATATTCTTTTTCACTCGGTTTCTGAGCAACCAAACAGAGGATTAATTATTTAGTCTTTTTTTTCATTGAAATTCGAAAATGATAGAAATAAGACTGAAACTGTTTGAGTTTTCTTTTCTTTTCTTTTCATTCAGTTTCTCAGCAACCAAACAGAGAATTAACTATTCGGTCTTTTGTCTTTGTTTTTGCTAAAATTAATTATAGTGTGCGTAATTGTAGGAATTGAATCGGTGTTTACTCTCCTTCGTTCTTGCTTTTCTTGTAGATATCCGTTGCTTCATATTGCATTAGCGTGGAAATTTTTAATTTGGTTTGTTTCTGGAGTGTTGAATTGCTACAAGTTTGTGATAATTAGATCCCTTTTTTTTTTTAACGTCTGTTTGTCTCAGATTAAGGTTTTTCCATTTGTTTAATTTGGCGTTTGGTTTCGCGATACAATTAAGAAAAGGGTTTTCAGGGTTCTAAGTTACTGATATAAATGATGAGGGTAATTTGGTCTTTTAAACTTAATCTCTGCCAAGTTCTGTGTAAAGATTGGATCGGAACAGAAGCTCTGACACAAATGATTCTAACATCTTGTTATTTCAGTCTGGTTTTAATTTTTTATTTTTAAAAAAATATTTTAATTATATGTTTAGTTTATTTTTTGAACTAGTTGAGATTCTCTATCATGACTCAGAAGTCTGAAATCTTTACCTGTTCCAAAAAGTTTTTAATGTAAAATTTAGATTTTTTTGGAAAAAGAAATTCAGTTTTCTTATGGGAAATACGTTGAGCACTTGAGCTACTCTATCTACACTTATGGGGCGGGGCAGGTTTAGCTAATAGTAATATATCATGTGTATATGTTTTTTCTAAGTCAAATTAGAGACTGTAAGCTTAATATTGATTATTCATCTATGGCTTGGAGCTTTAAAATCCACTTCTGTGTCTGTGTGTATGTTTGGTTCCTGCTTGTGGTACTGTTACTTCTTACATGTAGGAGAATTTTCATTAGCCCCATGTCCTGATTCTGTATTGATTAATTTAGGTTCTTCAGGCTCGTTTCACAATTATCATTGCACTGCTGCATGCTTCCTTTTCTTCAATTAGCTATTTAAACTCAGTATAATGAACTTGAGATGAGCTGTATGTACTTGTTTCTGAATAAAATTTATTTTCTCCGCTTTGCTTTTTACCTGTCACCTCGCTTCAGTGTTCTTAATCATGTTTGTATGTGTAAGTGCCCTTTTCTCTTATTTTAAAACTAATGTGGTTGTATATTTTAACTTCAGGTTAAGTGAGACTTCATCATATCCTGAATTTCTTCTAACATATCAAGATCGGGAGAAACGCAAATATTCATGAGCTATTGTAGCTCTTGGTGATATACAGATGAAGAAGCTATTTTTTTTCAAATCTTCCTCTAGCAGTGGAAACAACTCAGTTTCCCCACCATCAACGGAAAAGAAAGTTTACTGCAAGAACCAGAACCCACTGGGAAGTGGGGTGAATAATCAAGCTGTTGACAAGTCTGAGAACAGTTTCCGAAGCTCAAGGGGCTTTTTTTCCAAATCCCGGAAGCAACAATTAGATGGTGAGAGCTGCAGTACCAGTTCGGGTCTTAGAAGGAGCCGCTCGCTGTCATCAACAGCACTTTTTGTAGATGGGATGGGACAGAAGAGTTTTTCATGGGCAACTGATCCGAGTAGATCTCCTTCTAGCAGTACTAGTGGTATTCTTCCTCAGAAATCCAGTCATTCATCACGGTGAGGGATTTGGTTAATTCTATTTTATTGTAGAATTTGTTCATGAGAGTTTTATCTTATATGTAACTGCCTTTAATTCAACCCCCGTTTACTAAGTCAATTTATAAGACTAATATGCTGCATTGTGTACATGCCAGACGGTATAGGGCTCTTACACCTGAGAGGCACTCCCGGGAAAAACGATTTGAAGTGGCACCTATTCAAAATGCACATGGATTAGAGAGGCCGGGTTCTTCTGGGTCATCTAGAAGTCACCATGATTCATCAGGAAACTCTTCCTTATGCTCAAGTAATGTCTCAACTAAAATTTTGGACCGCTACATTGATGGAGAACAACATCAGGAAAGAAGTGGGCCTACAAACAGTTCTTCACAGAGGAACTATTCTGGAAATGTAAATGGTGGTGGGAGGCTCCCCCCAAGAGTTCAATATGCAACCCCTACTTCACCAACAAATAGTGTCAAAGGTAAGTCTCATTCTTTTAGGGATGCTAAAGACACTAGTCTCTATTTCTCATCTAGAGATTGGGTGGAGAATGGTTTTGGGCATGAATCTCCTCGGAGACTTGCAAAGAATGTGGTTGAGAGACTCTCCCAGACTCATGTTCTTCCCAGATCACATGCAAAGGACTTTGACCATGATGTTCCAATAACTATTGAAGACATCTATGGTGGTTCCTTTGGTAGATGCTCTGATTCAAATTCAGATGTGGTTGCTCGGGACAGTTATTCATTGGGTGAACCTTATGAAACTGTAAATGGATATCACAGGGATGATTTCTCGGGTTTTCAGAAGCAAAATTGTTTCCCTGGTGACAATTGTGAAGGTTTTAACTCTATTGAAGTAGAAGAGGATGTAGATGTGGACTTACAAAGAAGATCCAAAGAAGCTGAGGAGAGGGTCTTGGTACTTTCTGAAGAACTTGAGCAAGAAACCTTTCTTCGCGATTGTGGGTTTGATATGCCAACATTGATTCAGACCATTAGAAGATTAACTGAGGAGAAGCTCAGCTTGGCATATGAGGTTTCTGGTCTTCTACAGTCTAGAATTGCAGAAAGGGCTTCTACTAAGGAAGAACTTAGGCTGGCAAAGGCAGATGTGGAGTCACGAACACGAAGACTGGAGAAAGAAAAGAATGAGTTGCAGTCGGGATTGGAGAAGGAGTTAGACAGAAGGTCGAGTGAATGGTCATTGAAGCTTGAGAAATATCAAATGGAAGAGCATAGGCTTCGGGAGCGGGTTAGGGAGCTTGCAGAGCACAATGTCTCCCTCCAGAGGAAAGTATCTTCTTTTAAAGAGAGGGAAACAGAGAGCAGAAACATGATAACCCACTCAGAGCAGCAACTTAAGGACATCAGTACAAGAATTGAAGAGTGCACTGAGGAAAATCGGGATCTAAGAGAAAGTCTTTCTGAAATGCAAGAGAAGTATAGAGCATCAGAAGAAGATCTAGACTGCATTAAAAGAAATTTTGAAGATAAGGAGATGGAGTGCAAGGAATTGCAAAAATCTCTTACTCGATTGCTGAGAACATGTAGTGAACAAGAGAAGACAATTGCTGGGTTGCGAGAAGAATTCAGTGAGGGAATTGGAAATAAGCAACCTTTGGAGAAGTTTGATAAGCATGTGGCCAGATTGCAAATGGAGCAAATGAGGTTGACAGGGGTAGAACTATCATTAAGAAGGGAGGTTGAATCTTATAGGCTTGAGGTTGATTCTCTTCGGCATGAGAATATAACCTTATTACATCGCTTAAAAGGCAATGGTCAAGAGAGTGGCGCTTTAACCATTAAGCTAGATAAGGAATTGTGGACGCGTATATGCTACTTGCAAAATCAAGGACTATCAATGTTGAATGAGAGCGCCCAATCATGTTCTCAGCTACTGGAATTCATCAAAGGGAAAGCAGGCAAACTTCAAGACACTAAGCAGGGTATAGAATTTGTCAAGAATGGTTTAGATGGGCAATTCATTGTTGAATCTGACATGAAGGTTCAGAGCCTTAAGCGCGGAATTGAAAGCCTCACAAGGAGTTTACAGACTATGTCTGGTTTCCTGCATGAGAAATCCAGTCTGGTTGCTTCAAAATGTCAGTCATTACATACTGAGGCTGATTGCTCAGGAAAGATAAATAATCAAATTCCAGAGGTAATCAAGAATGTTACATACCCTTTTTTTTTGGTATGTGTGTGTGTGTGTTATTACCTTTGAATATGCTTATTTAACTTGAGCATGCTTTCTTTTCCATAAGTTATTATTTTGTATGTTCATTTAGAAAAGTGCCTTGATGTTGTTGACTTCAATTATTACTTATGTTTACTCTTTCTTGTATAGGAGAACATAAGATCTGAGCTCAAAGCAGAGACTTTGTTAACTAGTCTATTAAGAGAGAAGCTTTACTCTAAAGAGTTGGAAGTGGAGCAGTTGCAAGCTGAACTAGCAACAGCTGTGAGAGGTAATGACATCCTCCGGTGTGAAGCCCAAAATGCCTTGGACAACATTTCATGTGTCACCCATAAGTTGAAAGATCTTGAAATTCAGGTAATCACTTTTTACTACCTATAAAGTTCAATCTAGCTAATGGATGTGTTCATTTTATTAAATCTCAGTAGTATGGTCTGATATCTCTTATCACTTTCTGAATGTCTTCACAACTCCTAGTTGATCTTTGCAATAGTTTTCATCATGTAATTCTTGAACTCAATTTTTTTTGCCAATAGATACTGAAGAAGGATGACAGCATAAGCCAGCTTCAAAATAACCTCCAAGATTCTGCAAAGGAACTACATATCATTAAGGGCATATTGCCTAAAGTTTCAGAGGAGAGAGACATGATGTGGGATGAAGTAAAACAATACAGTGAGAAGAATATGCAGTTGAACATGGAGGTTAATGCATTGAAGAAAAAGATCGAGTCCCTTGATGAGGACATACTTCTAAAGGAAGGCCAAATCACAATACTAAAAGACACATTAGGTAATAAACGTTTTGACCTCCTTGGCAGCCCTGATCCCATGTGCGAATTCCTGCTGGAATGATTGCTAGCTGTTTTTGACTTTTGATTGCATTTGGATAATTAGGCACACTGTTAATAATAGTTCTATACTTTGAATTTTGTGCTCTTTGTGTTTTCTTTTTTTTTTTTTTTTTCACTGTTTTCCTTCATTAAAATATACCATGATTCTTTTGTAACATAGGTTACTATAATTGTACGTAGTTGGTTACTGTCTGATATGACGAGAAAATGCAAGCTGTTATTGTGTCCATCTCAAGGGAATTCTTTTTTGGAGTTTTTATTTCTCTCTTTTGCTTTAATTATTGATTTATTTTGCTTTGGATGAAATTTCACCTTATTTATCAATCTCCTAAAGAGAGAAATTAAACATTGAAGAACTCTCTCTGTTTAAGACTAGCCACCATGAGGCATAAAACCCACTCTAGAATGACAATAATCAAACCCAAACCACACATTTTCAGGCACAAATTTTCTGAAATAGAAAGTGTAAGACACCGGCAAGGCTCTGCCATTTTCTTCCTGATGAACTACCTTAATCCAACCCGGTCTCCACTCATCTGAACCAACTCTTTTAACGTACAATGCGCAAACACTTTTTTTCATGCAAGCTCCATTTGCATTAAACATGTTAATGCTGCACCTTTGTAACCCACCACCTTGTTTTTTACCACCATTCTTTGGAGCATAAAGCAACTTGGGGTTCTTCAAATGCTTCACGACGATCAAGTTTCCGGCAGAGTCGCTGAATCTAACACTGATATGATCTGTGGTTTCAGCAGCAGCTGCACAACTTGTCTCAATCTCTATTGAGTAGGAGCAAATATTCCTTTGAGAAATTAGGCTGGTTTGGTTGAGGGGTTGGTTTGCTTTTGCTAGTGGAGATATGGTGGTGATGATGATGATGATGATGATGATGGATAGAATGAAAATGAATAGAATATTGTGGGTTGATCTCTTCTTTAGAAAACTCAGCATGGTTTAAGTTTAATTTCTTCTTGTAGTTGATTTTGCTTTGTGTTTGAGGCTGTTAACAAGGTCTTGTACAATATATAGTGAAGTGTGGGCTTCCGTTTGACAAAAGCAAAGCATTTGTGGCAATGTGCATGGCTTGCTTTCATGAAAAAGAGATTCCCACTACTGAATGAGTTTCAATCTTGAAAAAGTTTTAGTGAATCTTTTAACTGTTACAGATAGTGTTGATCTATTCCAAACCAATCAATTTGCAAATCTTTCAAACATGAACAAAACTTTGTCCGCTGAAAAGCATCCTGTTACTTCATTAATATAATTTATAATGTTTAAAAAAACACATTTTGGTATCCTCTTTTAACATCCCCTAATGGGTTGTGGAACCCATATGTAAGTGAAAACTGAAAAGATTCCATTTTCAATTCATATGGTAATTTTGTTTAGGAAAATATTAACCATCATTGAGTAGTCTGATGATAAAAAAACAAAAGAAAGTTTCATAAACTTTTAAGTTTGAATCCCCTCAACCACTAATAGGAGTGGTTACTGTGACTCTTACCTAACCGACAATTCCAAGACCATGAGAGATTAGTTGAGGTGTGCAAGTTGACTCGGACACCCCCGTGATAAAAATAAAAAATAAAAACAAATGTTCATATATATATATATATAGTTTGGTTATAAGGAGATATTTATCCCAATTAAAAGAATTTGTAAGTATTATAAGAAATTAGAAAACCACTTGAATACTTATTAAAAGTTAAAGATGGGATGACTAGATGAAAGGAAAAATTGGAAAAGAAAGAGGATTTGATGACTTCAAAAGTAAATAGATCTGCCATAGACAGTATAGACTATAGAGAAAGAGTAACTTTTTTGTTATTCTGTTCGCAATTTGGCAATTTGCAGATAACTTAATAATAAACTTGTACTACATTATCAACTTTGGAACTAATTTTTCCCAATACGGTTCATGGAGTTAAAAAAAAAAAAAAAAAAAACATGTCAGCCAGAGAATTTTTTGTTATAAGTTACAGAAATATGCCATTGGATGATGATGGCTAAATTTTTAATCAGTGTCGAACCGCAAACTACCAGTTGCAGCACAAACAACTTCAACCAGATGAAAGACATAAAAAGATCATTTTCGATGTCATGGGCTCAGTAGGTAAATGGCATGCGCAATTGATGAGACTTTCAGTAATTTGTTGAGACTTTCAAGCCTTTCAACAGAAATATTAAGAGACAAACTCCATAGCCCATAGCTCAGCAAAGTACTCAAGCATTGTCTATTGACATTCCAAGTCCAATCTATAAATTCGAATGGCACATGCATAATATAAAGAAATGGGGAAATTTGGAAAATATGCATGGGTTACTCAAAGTATAAATAAATTATTTGCGCTCTTAGAGCATTTCCAATGATGCTCTTTATTTTGAAGAACATCTTTCATATAAATAAAGAGCATCTTCATTAATTTTAAAATATAAAGAACACAAATTTTATTCAAATCCAATAAACTCTTTAAATTTAATGAACATGCTCTTTATTTTTAAGAAATAGACTTAATGGGAGAGAGAATTAATAAATAAAATACATAGGACTTTGTAGTTTATTAATTAAAATTAGGATAGAGAGTGAAATTTGACTCTCTAAATGTGGATAATCAAACTCACTCTCTAATTTATATTTTAAAGATAAAGAGTATGTTAGACTCTTGTTTTTATAGATAAATTCTTTATAATAAAGAATTTGTGTCATATAAAGAGTCATTTGGAGATATTCTTAGATGTGGGGAGTCAAACTCACTCTTTAATTTATATTTTAAAGATAAAAGTCTGTTGGACTCTTGTTTTTATGGACAAACTCTTTATAATAAAGAGTTTAGGTCATATAAAGAGTTTTTTGGATATGCTCGTAGTACAAGAATGTAACATTTCATATCTTACGTGTGACAAGAAACTAAATGTTAAATTATTCCAATCTAAAGGGCATATTAATGTACACAAAATAAAAGTACATTAACGCCCAGTTGAAATAAGCAAGTTTTAATTTATTGGAACCTGATTGAAACAAAAGGATGGATGCACTATCCCTTGTTTGATTTCAGGTAAAACAGGAATTCCATGTGACTTTTAACACACACCAGTTTGACTGATAGCGGCTGGAGGATCTGATAATCTTGGGAAGTCATAGAGATGCAAACTTCCAGAAGTCAACCGGCCTCCGNCTGAAAAGCATCCTGTTACTTCATTAATATAATTTATAATGTTTAAAAAAACACATTTTGGTATCCTCTTTTAACATCCCCTAATGGGTTGTGGAACCCATATGTAAGTGAAAACTGAAAAGATTCCATTTTCAATTCATATGGTAATTTTGTTTAGGAAAATATTAACCATCATTGAGTAGTCTGATGATAAAAAAACAAAAGAAAGTTTCATAAACTTTTAAGTTTGAATCCCCTCAACCACTAATAGGAGTGGTTACTGTGACTCTTACCTAACCGACAATTCCAAGACCATGAGAGATTAGTTGAGGTGTGCAAGTTGACTCGGACACCCCCGTGATAAAAATAAAAAATAAAAACAAATGTTCATATATATATATATATAGTTTGGTTATAAGGAGATATTTATCCCAATTAAAAGAATTTGTAAGTATTATAAGAAATTAGAAACCCACTTGAATACTTTTTAAAAGTTAAAGATGGGATGACTAGATGAAAGGAAAAATTGGAAAAGAAAGAGGATTTGATGACTTCAAAAGTAAATAGATCTGCCATAGACAGTATAGACTATAGAGAAAGAGTAACTTTTTTGTTATTCTGTTTGCAATTTGGCAATTTGCAGATAACTTAATAATAAACTTGTACTACCTTATCAACTTTGGAACTAATTTTTCCCAAGACGGTTCATGGAGTTAAAAAAAAAAAAAAAAAAAAAACGTCAGCCAGAGAATTTTTTGTTATAAGTTACAGAAATATGCCATTGGTATTTACCCAAAATGTAACAGACAACAATATTCCAGCAACAATCCAACACAATAGATCAAAATGGTAAAAGTTGTATATTAATCTTAATAAGAATTAAAGAGAACAATGAGTTTTTAAGAATGAAATAGTAGCACTAGCTGGTCTTCGAGGGCCATCACCTCCCAGATTCAATTCATGCACAAAAACAATGATATCCCCTCTCCCTGGTACCACTACCCTTTATTCTGACTCCTGGATTCTAACAACTAACAAGACACCTGTCCTCAGATGATTTACCCCATTTGCCCCTGTCTCCCCTTGCCTGTCTTGCGTGAATACCAGCTGGATAATTCAGGTCCATCATTACCCTCCCCAAGGAATGTCACCTTGTCCTCAAGGTGGAAAGAAGGAAATTGGTTGCAGATGCTTGCACAAGGCTCCCAAGTATTATCACAGGTCGGTAAGCCTTTCCACTTGATCAGAACCTCATAGTCCCCATTTAACAACCTTTGCTTTCGCAAGACTTGTTCTGGCTTGACTTGGAGTACCATATCTCCATCAAGAAAGGGAGGGAGTGGGAGTGAGGTGATTGGCTAAGAGGTAACTTTCTTCAGTTGGAAGACGTGGAACACGTTGTGGATCGGGCTATGGTGGGAAGTTGCAAACGGTAAGCCATAGGACCAACCTTTTTGGTCACTTCATAGGGCCCATAAAATCGGGGGCTGAGTTTTTCGTTGGGTCTTCGAGCCAGTGATTTAAGACGATAAGGTTGAAGTTTTAAGTAAACTAAATCACCTGGTTGGAACTGAACATCCCTTTTCTTACCATCCGCATAGGCCTTCATGGCTCATTGAGCTTGGGATAAATTGAGCTTTAATTCATCTAAAATGTGATTCCTTTTGATCATTTGCTCATTAACTGCCGCCACCACTGATGCATGCTCAAAATATCTAAAAAGGACTGGTGGGACCCTGTCGTATAATGCTTGAAAAGGAGACATACCTGAGGACTGATTGAAGGTTGTATTAAACTAGTATTCTGCCCAATTTAACCACTTAGGCCACTGTTTTGGTTGTTGTCCAGCAAAGCAACGAAGGTAGGTCTCAACACAATGGTTGACCACTTCCGATTGACCGTCCGATTGAGGGTGATATGCTGTGCTCATGTGTAGCTTTGTGCCTGATTGTTTAAACATCTCTCCCCAAAAAATGCTCATGAAGAGTCTATCCCGATCCGAGACGATTGTCCACGAAAACCCATGTAGTTTAACAATGTTCTGGATGAAAAGATTAGCCACCTGTTGGGCCGTGTAGGGATGTTGGAG